TTACACACTCTAAATTCAACTCTGCACTTTGTTTTATTCAGAACTAAAGATAACAGAGAAACTGTCGAAACATGTTTGCAAATTTAATAGGTCTCGTTTATTTTCTTAAATTCGTTACATATCTGCTTCTATCTAGACCTTTTAACAACATTTGGCTTTTTTTACCCTCTAAACCCTTAGAGTGATTAGCATCAAATTTCTCCTTACAGAATCGCCCCTGAGTCATTCGTCAAGGTCATGAGAATAAAGGAATGATCACTAACGAAGGAAGCCTTTTATTGGAAAACAAATTCTCTTTGTCGGCACCTTAGGAAATGTCTAAAGAGCAGTATGGAGAATATGTATACTGATTTTAGGTTTTAAAAGGTTAATCGTTTTAAAACAAATAAGTTCCTTGTTGCCGTGCGTCTGTTTCATAATATAATTTATTCTTTACTCTTACAGACGCACGGCGACCTGGAATTTATTTGTTATTCATACATGATTTTTGATTGGTTCTTGCTCATGATATATTGGAGACAGCTGTATAGTTTACGTCAAAATTAAGATACTTGTTGCAGAATTCATGATGCAGTGCGTCTTTTCAGTAACTGTAATAGAACACAGAAGACATCAAAATATGCGACGCCATCTTTGACATCATCGATTTCACCTTGTGTGCTAATGCCTGTTTTTATCACGTGCTTCTAAAGCATGGATCCCCATTTCGTCACGTTCCTTATGAAGACTCAAACAATGTGCTCACGCAGCTTTTTGTTGGATATTTGCTGTAATGTAAAAGCAAGGGATTTTGCGAGCAAATATTCGCATATGTTCGTATTGTTTCAGTGTACAGCATATACCACGGAAACTTTTCTGTGTTTTGAATAAACTTCTTGTTCCTTTGTTGATCCATGCAGTTTAACAATTGTTTTGTTTATTGCATTTTTGGTTCACCTTACATGGTAAATATTAACATCCTTCGGGAGAAGTTGCCATGTGCAAAGATTGTGCCATGCTATGTTTGTCTTATTTTTATTTTTTTAGAGTAGAAGTTCACGTGGATATTTAAGAGACCACACTTTTTAATGGTCGTCTTCTTACTGTGATGCACAATCTCTCTACAGTGTGATTTGATTTCCCCTAACAGGCGATAACATGCAAAACTGGCCCAGGGGAAAGTAAGGCAAGTGATAATCGTTAGATACCCAGCTTGTGAGCTACGTGTGATTACAGCTTCGTGCCTCACCAGGAGGAAACAAAATTGAGAAACACGCGGAATCATGATCTCTTGTTGAAGACATCTACGTTTCTCTTTTAAGATTTATTATTTTATTAACCCGGAATAAAGAGATAAATTTAAAATTTTCAAATTGCAATCATGACTGTCATTGACTTAATCCGTTGCTATTTTTTGAAAAGAATGCGAGTTTTAATGGCGCGACACATGAGGAAATAACTGTAGAGGTTGTACTTCATGCTTGGAAATATTGCGTCGTTTTAAGACTACACGAAATTCCTATCCAGCAAAATACAAGGTCGTTTATGCTTTTTATAACTTAAGGCTTCATAATATTGGATCTTAAATTAACTTTCAGAGGTTTCAGGTTTTGTAATGTAAACGTACCGATGTGACCGGACACAGTACTCAGATGGAGACTATGTCAGCCTTAAATTCGATTAATACGTTACCTAGGTGGACGGAAACTAAAATTTTTTTTTTCATACTGCCTTGAGTTGGAATACAGAAGATTGAAAAAATGTGGTTACTCGGCACAACTCTTCAGTTTTGAGTGCCACTACGAGCTTAATATTCGCCTAAAATGTACTAACTCGAGTTTGTCATGATGTTTCCTGTATGTTCTATTTCTGTCATTTATTTTCGATAAACAATGTGGATATTTTATCCTTGACAGCGTATAACACTTCGTGGCCTGAAGCCCTCAGTTTATGATGATTTACCTTAGCCATTTTTCATTTCATTTAAGCTTCCTTCAGTCAATTCATGTCACTCAGTTCTTTCTTGGGTGAACTAATTGAAATTGATGCGGTTTGTCGCCTTTCTTGCTCCAAAAAGAGTCACTCGCAACTCTCTTGCTTTTCGACGGATTAAGTACAAGTATACGTGCACGTTTGAAGTGTCTTCTTTACTCAGAGCTCTGTTTTATCCATATATTTTGATATTTTCACGTTTTACGTGGGATATTAGGTCTGATTATTATCGCCAGCATGTCTATTTTTAACTGACACTATCCGCCACAGACATACTGATACTGATGATACTGGCTTACTGGTCAGAAACAATTTTCTAGAGCCAAAGTGTTTTTCTTTGAGTCTCACTGATATATCTTAATTTCCATTTTTGAGCCAAAAATTGCAGAGAATACACTCAACAAGTCATTAACAGAATGAGAATGGTTTTAATACGTCTATCGAATACATACATACATACA